CAAGAGGAGGAAATTATCATTCTGAGTACTAGACTTTACTTATCTAGCTCAGTCTTAGTAGAGATTAGTAGAGATTATAATCTCTACTCTTGAAATTAATTTATTTAGTGGTTGATTGATTAATTGATTGAGACAAGTTCTTGCTCTGTAGTTTAGCTGGCCTAGACTCACTATGTATCCCAGACTGGTCTTGAACTTGCAGCGGTCCTCCTGCCTTAGCCTTCTGAGTGCTGGAATTACAGCTAATCCTGAAATTTAAAGTTCTAAGAAGTTTTTATTTTACTTCTTTTTGTGGTATTGGAAATTGAACCCAGAGAGTGATGAGCTACATTCCTGGCTCTTTTTAATTTTGAGACAGAGTCCCACTAAATTACTAAATTGTCCGTACTAAGCTCAAACTTATAATTGTTCTGCCTTAGCTTCTCAGAGTGCTACGATTATAGGTGTTAACCACTCTGCCTGGCTTTAAAATCACTCTTAAAATAGAAAAAATTTAAAATCACTATTTTAAATCATCTATTTAAAATAGAAATTTAAAATCACTCTTTAAATACATAAAGCATTAGTTGCCTATCAGATGGAGTTGCTCTTTATCTTGTGACTCATATTTCAACCATGGGAGAGTTTCCATTTTGCACTGATAACTGGTTGGATTGCTAAGTGTATATCCAAAAAGTAGGACCATTATAGTGCATTTTGTTTTATATAAACTCATTTTCTATTTTACCACTGAAAATATGCTTATTCTGATTTTGATTTTGCCATTAAAATCCATGCTGCTTTTGTTAATTCACATTTTTAAAAATTAGTTTGGGGAACTTTCCGGTGTGCTGCTCAGCCAGCTCCGGGGGATTTGAGCCTGCCTGCCTGCGCCCTCAACTGCAGACTGGGCAGCCTGGGGTGAGTGTCCCCACACCATCCCCGCACCATCTAGAGCCCCAGAAGGGAGTTTAAGAGCATTGTTCCCACCAACCAAGGAACTTTAAAGCTTTCTGCTGCACTGAACCAGCTCAGCATGGCTTGGGCCTGCCTGCCCCACCCGTAGTGACCCTCTCTCAATCTGGGGAATGTGGCAGCCAGAGTCCCAGAAGCTGAGAGCATAGAAGAGGATTTTCAACAGGCCCAGGGGAAGCCTTGGAATAACACTTGAAACACAGAAATATAGGAAAATGATAAAACAAAAGACCAAAATACAATCTCAAGCCTCTAGCCCATCCCAAGAAACCTTAGGAGTTATGTACATAGAAGAAAACATATGCCATACAGCTGAAATACCTGAAATAATAGCAACTGAAATAAAGAAGCAACTCTGGGAAGCTTTAAAGGAATTCAAACTAGAAATAATCTCCCAGGTAAAAGAAGAAATGATAAAAGAAATGAAAGAGATGCTGAACATATCTAAAGAAGACACAATTAAAAAATTGGAGGAACTAAAATAAAAAGATAGAATCCCTGGATGAACAGTTTAAGAAACAAACAGAATACATGAAGCAAATTCAAAGAGATATACAGGAAATCAAAAATTCCATTGAAAGTTGTAAAAACTGCCTCAATGAAAGTGACGATAGAATTTCAGATCTCAAAGACAAGATTGCAGCTAGTGAATAGGAAAGGAAAGATCTTTTAAAAATAACAAGGAATCAGGAAATAACAATTCAACAGCTGCAAGATAATGCATAAGAAAAACAACAACAACAGATAGAGATAAATGAAAAAGGAGACAACATAAAGGATGTCAAGAGGACATTTAGAGAAGTAATAGCTGAAAATTTCCTATGAAACATGAGAATGGAAACTGATATCAGGATCAGTGAAGCATACAGAACTCCAAATATCCATAACCAAAATAAAACTACACCCAGACATATAATAATCACCATCCCAGAAATCTAGCATAAGAATAGAATATAAAAGCTGTCAGAGAGAAAAGACAGATCACCTATAAAGGAAAACCTATCAGAATCACAGCAGACTTCTCAGCACAAACAATAAAGTCAAGAAGAGCATGGAGTGAACTATTCCAGATCCTAAAGGAAAATGATTTCCAATCTAGACTGATGTACCTTGCAAAATTGTCCTTTAAAATTGATGGAGAAATAAGATATTTCCATGACAAAAAACAGCTGAAGAACTTCATGATCACCAAGCCAACCCTGCAAATAATACTGAAAGATAGTTTAGATATACTTAGGGAAAAACCACTAAGCAAAGCAGATAGTTAACCAGAATGGAAAGATAAAAATGCAACAGCAGAAAGATAACATGTCAACAATAAACCAATATATAACAGTTATAACCATTAATGTAAGTGGTCTCAGTGCACCAATTAAATGAAACAGACTGGAAGAATGTATCAAGAAACAACATCCAACCATATGCTGTTTACAAGAAACCCATCTAACCCAAAAGGATACTCACAGACTGAAAGTCAAAGGATGGAAAACAATACTTCATGCAACAGGAATCAAAAAAAAAAAAAAAAAAAAAAAGCAGGGGTAGCTATTCTGTTTCCAGACAATGTGAACTTCAAACCAAGAATGATCAGAAGTGATAAAGAAGGTCATTACATACTGGTTAGGGGAAAACTTCAAACTTCAAGAGGAAGAGCTAACAATCTTAAATATATGTGCACCAAATTCCAGAGCACCCAGTTATATAAAGCAAGTATTAATAGAAATGAAAAACCAAATTAGCAATAACTCAATTATAACAGGAGACCTTAACACACCATTGACACCAAGGGAAAGATCAACCAGACAGAAAATCAGCAAAGAAATAACAGAACTGAATCACACCTGTGAACAAATGAACTTGACACACATATACAGAGTGTTCCATCCAATAACATTAGGATACACATTCTTCTCAGCAGTACATGGGACATTCTCTAAAATAGACCATATACTAGCCCCCAGAACATATTTAAATAGATGCAAAAGAGTTGAAATTGTCCCACGCATGTTAGTGGATCATAGCACCATGAAACTAGAAATTAATGATAAAAGATACTGCAAAAATCCCACAAACACATGGAAACTGAATAACACACTCTTGAGTAATCAGTGGGTCACAGGGGAAATTAAAGAAGAAATTAATATCTACAAGTAAGTGAAAATACAAATACAACTTACCAGAACTTGTGGGATACAATGAAAGCTGTCCTCAGAGGAAAATTTATTGCACTGAGTTCCCACATCAGGAAAACAGAAAGAATACAAATAAATAACCTGATGCTACACCTCAAACATCTAGAAAAAGAAGAGGAAAGCCAAAAGAAGGGAGGAAATTATAAAAATCAGAGCATAAATTAATGCAATAGAGACTAAGAAAACAGTCCAAAGAACCAATGAATCAAAGAGTTGGTTCTTTGAAAGAATAAATAAAATTGATAAGCTCCTAGCCAACCTTTTTAAAAAAGGGAAGAAAAAGCTCAAATTCATGCAATAAGGAATGAAAAAGGTGAAATCACTACAGACTCTGTAGAAATACAGAAGATCATCAACACCTATTTTGAAAACCTCTACTCTCAGAGGTTTGATAATACAGAAGAGATAGACAGATTCCTAGAAACATGTGAAGTACCAAAGCTAGGTCAAGAAGATGTAAAACTACTGAATAACCCAATTTCTATTAAGGAGTTGACAATGTAATTAAGTCCTTACCTACAAAGAAGAGCCCAGGCCCAGACAGATTTACTGTGGAATTCTACAAGAAATACAAAAAAGACTTAATGCTGACACTCCCCAAACTCTTCAATGAAACTGAAAGGGAAGCAATCCTTCCTAAGTCATTCCTGGAAGCAAATATTACTCTAGTACCAAAACCTGAGAAAGACCCAACTAGAAAAGAGAACTACAGGCCAATCTCCCTAATGAACATAGATACAAAAATCCTCAATAAAATATTGGCAAACAGGATGCAGCAAATCATCAAGAAGATCATACACCATGACAAAGTGGGATTCATCCCAGGCATGCAGGGATTGTTCAATATACGTAAATCAATAAATGTAATACACCATATCAATAGATCCAAAAGTAAGAACCACATGATCATTTCTATAGATGCAGAAAAAGCTTTTGATAAGGTCCAACATTCATTCATGCTAAGGACCTTACAAAAAATTGGAATAGATGGTCTTTACCTCAATATCATAAAGGCCATCTATGACAGACCAACAGCCAGTATCATACTAAACGGCCAAAAACTGAAGGCCTTTACCTTCAAATCAGGCACAAGACAAGGATGTCCTTTATCACCGCTCCTATTTAATATAGTACTGGAAATACTAGCCAGAGCAATTAGACAAGAGAGAGAAATAAAAGGGGTAAAGATAGGAAAATTATCATTATTTGTGGATGACATGATACTCTACATAGAAGACCTGAAAACTCCTATATATAATAAATTAATTCAGAAATGTAGCTGAATACAAAATCAGTACTCAAAAATCAATAGCACTCCTATACACTAACAACAAAATCACTGACAGAGAAATAAGAGAAGCCCCACCCTTCACACTAGCAACCAAAAAAATGAAATATCTAGGAATTATTCTCATGAAAGATGTAAAAGATCTATATAGGGAAAATTATAATACCATGAAAAAAGAAATTAAAGAATATCTCAGAAAATGGAAAGACATCCCTTGCTCATGAATAGGAAGAATAAATATTGTGAAAATGGCCATTCTCCCAAAACTGTTATACAGATTCAATGCAATCCCAATAAAAATGCCATCAACATACCTCATAGATCTCGAGAAATCACTCCTAAAATTCATCTGAAACCAGAAGAGACCTAGAATAGCAAACACAGTTCTAAGCAGCAAAGGCAAGGCAGGAGGCATCACAATCCCTGACTTGAAGTTATACTACAAAGCAACTGTAGTAAAATCAACATGGTATTGGAATCAAAACAGAGCCAAAGATCAGTGGAATAGATTAGAAGATACAACCACAAGTACAAACACACTCAACCACCTTATCTTTGATAAAGGAGCCAAGCAGGTTCACTGGAAGAACGACAGTCTCTTTAATAAATGGTGCTGGAAAAACTGGTTCTCCATATACCGAATACTAAGACTAGACCCATGCCTATCACCATGTACTAAATTAAAGTTTAAATGGATCAAAGATCTGAATATTAAAACAGAAACACTAAATCTATTGGAAGACAAGTTGAATAAAAACCTTGAAGACATAGGGGTAGGTAGAGAATTCATGAGCAGGACTCAAACCGCACGGGAAATACTTCCCAGAATCAACAACTGGGATCACGTCTTATTAAAAAATTTCTGCATGTCAAAAGAAATCTTTAGCATAGTGAAAAGAGAACCCACAAACTGGGAAACAATCTTAGTGAACTGTCCTGCAGACAAAGGACTTCTGTCTAAAACATATAAAGAATTAAAAAAAATCAGACCCCCAAAATTCAAGGATCCAATGCAAAAATGGGCATCTGAGATGAATACACAGTTCTCAGATGAAGAAATACAAATGGCAAATAAATATATGAAGAAATGTTCATCGTCATTGGTCATTAGGGAAATGCAAATTAAAACCACACTGAGATTCCATCTCACTCCAGAAAGAATGGCCAGGATCAAGAAAACTATCAACAACAAATGCTGGAGAGTCTGTGGGGGGGAAAAGGAACTCTCCTGCACTGTTGGTGGGAGTGTAGACTGGTACAACCTTTGTGGAAGTCAGTTTGGAAATTTCTCAGAAAGCTGGGATTGGAAATCCCATCTGTTCCAGCTATTCCATGTCTAGGTATATTCCCAGAAGAACTGAAAACATCATACCACAGTGATATATGTGCACCCATTTTTATTAGCAGCACAATTTCTAATAGCCAGATCTTGGAAACAATGTAAGTGTCCATCAACTGACGAATGGATAAAAAAGTTGTGGTATTTTTATATGGTGGAGTACTACTCAGCTATAAAGAATGATCACATTGAGATATTTATAAATAAATGGACACAGCTTGAGACTATACTCATAAGTGAAATAAGTCAAAGATGAATATTTTCCCTAGTGTAAGAAATGGTAAGAATACATTAAAAGTATGTCATAATCATGATTCCCCATTATATTGCTTTGAAGCTTTATAATGTTTTCATTCATTAATTGGAATAGTTTTATTCTGGTTTTTTTATTTTATTATCTGTGATGGTATGAACAGCTATTTTGAAGAAAGTAAGACATTATGATAGCTAGTGATGATTTAATATCATCTTATTTTGAAGTCCCACCAAGCTTTTGTTTTTCTGTCTCCATCGCAGTTTTATCATGTTGTATCTTATTGGATTATATTATATGTGATAGTATAAACAAAATTTTTATGGACAAGGAGATAATATAGTAACTATTGTTCATTTTCTGTTAGTTGGTTCTGAATACCCTGTAATATTTTCATTCTCTTGAATGGTTTTATACTGTCATTTTATGTTTGATACTATAGTATATGAAGGTGTACTCAAATATTTCAAGGAGAGAGACACTATGGTAGCTACTGTTATGTCGGATTGTCTTGTGGTGAAACACTATGTTGCTTAAATTGTTCTGTTTAGAAAAAAAAATTGTTTGAGAAATTGAACTCAGAACCTTGCACTTGCCAGGCAGGATGAACCCTAACCCTAAATTCCCAGCTAATTCACATTTTAGATGAGTTTTGTGTTTTATAGTAGTAACTTTTCACAAAAATATTCACATCTTCTCTGCATTTTTTTCTATTAAAATATTTAGAGAAGATGGGGTATAACTTGGTTGCAGAGCAGGTACTTAGCATATAGAAGGCTCTGGGTTAAATTTTCAGCAACAAATAAATAAGCAGCAGAGAAATATAACCAATAGCAAATATTACCATTGAAAAGCACTGAGCAAAAAAAAAAAAAAAAAAAAAAAAAGAAAAGCACTGAGCAGACATTATGGGTTATTATTCAAGTGACAGAACATTCATCTCTCATCAAGATTTGATAGTACATAGAACTTGGATCAGAATTGTCAAATTTAAGGACATTGCTTCCCAACTTGATTTCTTGGGCCATCATTTACAAGATTTGTAAAATTTATACTATGCAAATAAACTTAATGATGTTTATTTGCAAGAGTGATTTAGTGTTGGCAGTGCTCAGGGCCATGGGCCACATACTCATAAATGTTATACTCATGTGTATAACATTGCAACAAAACTTACTGGTTAATCTGTCCATGATTTTCCATCCCACATGCTTTTGTACTGGTTGCTGGAAATCTCAAAGAGTAATCTTTTTACTTTTTGTGCCAGTTTTCAAACTTGTTTTTATCTTGTTGTGAATGGATTTCTTCAAACACACAGCATCTCACATTTATTGCTAGGCTTCATTTACACTAGTGCTTTTTCTTGTTTTCCAGATTTCTTAACTGATTTTTCTTAGGATTTAGACATATAAATTTATCAAGCAAGGTTGAGAGAGAATTTGCACACTAGTTGTTTTCAGCCCAGGCCCAATTTAAACCAGTTTCAAGACTTAATGAATGTATTTTGGATGGGCAAAGAATTAGAAACCCAGGTATAATTGACAAGAGGTTTAGTCCAACACTGGTTGATCCTTGGGAATCCTTTAAAATCTTGGACTATTGGAATAAAGGTCACCTTTTAGATCCTCACTTAGCAAAAGCTTTGGGCTTTGAGTTTTTGATCCTTCTCTTTAGAAGACTGTTGATACAGAAGCTCAAGTCTGTAAGGACTGGCAAATACCCTCATGTCCTGCAGCTTTTATGGCCATTTACTTTTCTGGATTCTAGTTTTCACTTTGGTTTTGGTTTGTACTTCTTTACCATCTTGTCAACATATTTGTGGGTGTTTTGTTTGCTTGCTTGCCTGCCTGTTTGTTTGTTTTATAGCGCTAGGAATTGAACCCAGGGCCTCATGCGTTAGGCAAGTGGTCTACAGCTGAGCTACACCTCAGCCCTTAAGATGTGTTAATATTTTTGTGAAATTTTAGCTTTTCTTTATAAAAGGATCAATCCAAATAATTTAGACGTCAGTTTTTAGAAACAAAAAGCCCAGATTAACTGGTGTTTGGCTATGACTAAGAATCAGTTTTGAATTTGAAACTCATATGTAGTCAATAGAATAATAGAAGGTAATTATGATTGTTATATGTTGAGGGATAAAAATGTTATTCAGTATGGGCTTCAGTATGGGTTTCAGGTCAATCATACATTCATCCTAGAATGCTTGTTTACTTTTTACCAATGTGCTGAGGTCAGGCAGAGCACACAGTGATGAGCATGGTAGATGTACTCTCTGCCCTCAGGGAGTTTCTGCTCAAATGGGTTGCTAATCAGCAAGTCAAGGTCCATATCTAAAGCACAATACTTTGAAATCTGATGAGCAGGTTGACTTCTTAGCCACACAAACATTACAAATTAGTTCTCAGGCATGCAGTTTTCCCGGTACATGGAACTTTTCAAAGCTATGGACAGCTACATAGTACGGCCCTGCTCATTTTAGCATCATAGTCCTTTCTATATCAAGGTGGGAGGTTCTCATTCCTAAAGTTGACAGTCATACTGTTTGTCAATATATACTGGGTATATATTTCTTTATTCAGCAAATGTTTCTTTTTATTTGTTTGGTTTGGTACTGGGACTCAAACTCATGACCTTGCACTTGCCAGGCAGGCGCTGTGTCAGTGAGCTATATCTCTGGCCCCTGTTTGTTTTTTGAAATAGGATCTTGCTATGTCATTCAATGGCCTTGAACTCATTATGCAGCCCAAGCTGGCCTCAAACTCTCTATCCTTTTTCCTCCACCTCTTGAATGCTTGTTAAATACATACTCTGAGCTAAGCACTGACTATACATTGATTAGTAAAATAATACAGTAATAGGGTCATTCATATTTGTGTATCTTTGAAAATCTAATGCTCATACTGATACTGACCTTTATAGTTAATCATGATGTCTGTCTTATGGCTGTGAGCTGTAGCCATAGTGCAGGTGAGTGCCAGGATGTCATTATCTCTTCTCATTCAGTACAGTGTCTGTGTAGTAAACTGCAGAATGAGTCAGCCTCTCTCACATCAGGATCCTTGCTCTTTGCAATCGTCCCCCCGCCCCCTTCTTCCTTCCTGGATCTGCAAGTGTTTAAGGAGAAGGGGTCCCAGTGAACTCTGCCAGCTTTCAGAATTATTTATGTCAGCCAGAGCATATTTTAGTACTCCTTTCTATTGAAAACTGCCTGCTAAATTCAACGTATTCTTGGATTTAAAAGTACAATATGTATTTTTAGGATGTTTAATTATTCTTTGCAGATACACTTTTGACTACTAGTTTATCGAGAAATCATTATGCTTTCCAAAATATTTTCCTATTCGTGCTAGCAGCACCCACAAGCTGTTTAAGTGTTCTTTAACTTGTTGTGGTTTGGCATAATTGATGCCGTCTTGAGCCTTGCATTTAACTAGTACCCTGTATTTGACTCAGAAAAATGGAAAATTACTCAGGGTACAAGTCCCATGAAAAAAGCAGAATGAGCTGTACCTACAGCTGAAAAGTTAACCTGCTCAACAAAAGAAGCAGGATACAGGTGTCAGCTGAAAATTAATGAAAGATTTGAGCTAAATTGTTTCCAACAGGATGTCTTTTGTGATTCTCTCTTTAAAAAACTCCGTAACTTTCAGTTAGGAGCCACTTGTTTGGACTCTGAACCAGGGGGCTCTGTATACGACTAGTCCTGAGCTCAGTTAACAAATTCCAAATCTATCATTTTGGCTGCTTGGATTCCTATATTGTTGTTCACGAACCCATGTCAAATTTACCTTTTAAGTTCATCTTAAGCTCTCATATACCCTAAATGATAGAATTTTTGGCGCGGAAGGGAACCATCTGATAGAATTTTGGGGGCGGCTAAAAAGATAAGTATGAAATAGGGGCTGGGGATTTAGCTCAGCGGCATAAGCACCTGCCTTGCAAGCAGGCAGTTGTGAGTTTGATCCCCGGTACCGATAAAAAGGAAAAAGACAAAAAAAAAAAAAAATTGTCTTGAAGAAGTATGAAATAAAAGTGGTTTTTATTTTAAGAATGTGGAGAGAGACTGCATGACCCTCCGGGGTCTGGCATTCTCTCCGCCAGACACGTGGTGTGGGGGCATACCTGTAGCTTAGGTTTGGGGTAGTGCCTAAGGGGCATTAGTGATGCACAGGTAGCCCATTGGTATTCATTTTGCGCCACAGGTAAATTGCCTAGGGATGGGAAAGGTGACCTCAAGATAGAGCCCCTTGGTTCCGCCTCCCAGGCTCCCACCCGCTACAGTGTCCCGTCTGGGGCAAAATCCTTTCACTAAACACTTCTAATAGCCGGGTCATATTCTTTTACAAACACCACCCCTCCTCACTTCTTGTCTCCCAGTCTGTTGTCGCCAGTGCTTAGACTCTTCTCTATTGCTGAACTTGTCTTTCTGCTCCTTTTTTCCAGACCAGTCTTCAAAGAGCCAGCAGAGATATAGTGATATTATAGTAGGAGTCATCTTAGCCATGGAGATGGGATCTCCTGTACAACCGTCCTTGGCCTTTAGACTGAGAGTCAGCTGTACTCATAGGAGTAGAAACTGTATTCCTCGTTAGATCTACCTTTCTTGAATTCCTACTGTGTGCCAGGTAATTGGGGATATGTGAGGATGTGATCCAGTCTGCAGCTGTGGGGCATGCCAATGTTCAGGAGTGTGGAAGGCCAGAGAGACGAACCAGCAAAGGAGGGACAGTCAGTCAGGTGGAATGAAAGCCAGATGAAGAGTTCCTAAAAGGCAGAAGTGACCTGGTCAAAGTCAAGAGCCCATATAAGGTGAAGTCTCAGAAATGGACACTGGAATCAGTGACCTTGGCCAGTGCAGCTTCACTGAAGAGGTGTTGATGGGACAGGAGTGGGTTAAAGAGTAGGTAGAAAAGAGAAAACGTGGTGAGGAAGCAGTGGAATTGACTGCTTGGTGTGCTGAAAAGTCTTTTATAATGTGAAAGACTATAAAAGATATAGTCTGCTATAAAAGATAGTAAAGAAATTAGGTGGCTGCTGGAGGGGACATTAGATTTGGGGGCCAATGGCAGTTGTTTGTAAGGTAAGAATCACTGCCATATGTTCCTAGGCTTAATGAATTACTAAAGTGGACATAAAAGAAGCAGGAGAGAGGAGGCGTAACTCCTGGAACAAAGTGTTTGAGGGGCCTGCAAAAGGTGGAATCCAGTGAACCAATGGACATACTGGCCTGGAACAGAACAGAGACAGTCCTGTTTTTTGTTGTTGTTGTTGTTTTTTGAGCTGGAGATTGAACTCAGTACTTCAGCTTGCCAGGAAGACGCTTATGCCTCTGAGCTAAATCTCCAGCCCTCCCTTAGCCTTTGAGAGGTAGCACAATAGACTTGATAGTGAAAAGATGTAGAGGCAGACTTAGGGAGATTACATGACTTCTTCAAGATTATATAATTTGTAAGTGCCAAAGTCAAGATTTAAGCCCAGGGCTGAATTCTTGACCCCTAAGCTAAGTAAGCTGCTCTCTAGTTTATAGATGAATTGATAGAGTCTGACATAGTTTACAAGTCATAAACATCTAATTATGTGATCAAGTATTTCACCTTGGTCTCTTTAGCATTCTTTACATACTTCACAGTTAAGGATTAGATAAAAGTTCAGTGAATTATTTCTAGATGCCCAATAAATGTCTAGAGAGCTAACAAGGTAAACTGATTAAGGCCCTTCTCTTGGCATGGTACTTCCCTATCAGAGATCTTCAAAGACCCTTCATTATCTCATTGAATGAAACACGTGATATTTGGGTCCATTGGGATCTGGCTCTCCAGCTTTATCCATTTACCTTTAGTCAAACCATTCCCCAATTCTTAGTTCTCTCTATCTACAAAGTCTGTAGAATTGCTGCCAATCCTCAAAGGCACCATTCCAATGCCACCACTTCCATGAAAGCTTCCACTGACACACCCAGGAACTTTGCTTTGTTACCGTTGCCATCTGTGCTTGTATACAGCACTGACGCATTTCATCTTACTTTATAGTATGTGGCTTCTGCGTTGTATAAGGCAAGGACTCATTTGTTGATATTTTTCTCTTCTACTCTCACATATAACAGGTATCTATCTAATGTTTTGGCTTTTTATTTTGTTTCATTTTGGATCTAGAGATTGAAACCAAGGCCTCAGGTCTGCTAGACAAGCACTTTACCACTGAGGTATCCCCCCACTCCTTAATGTTTCTTTATTTCAAATAGGCATTTTTATATCAGCCTTTATACTTTCTAGCTTCATTCTCCAGTTCAAAAACACATTGCATGAATTGGATAGAAAAGAATTGGGAAATGGTCTTGATACTTCTCTGGCCTGATGAATACCTTAGAAAATGTGACAGTATACATAACTTTTCTTCTGGATAGATTTTTTTTTTATTATTATTCCATAGGATTATCTACATACTAGAGTAGAGTAAAAGACTCTTTTCCATCAGAGGGCCAGCTGGTAGTGGTAGCTTGTTTACTACCTGATTAATCAAATCCCACAGAAGCAAGCACTCAAAGGAGGAAAAGTTCTGGTTATACATAAAGGCAAAGGGGTTCTGAAACCTTTCAGAGGTCCGAGGTTTAGAAAATTGGCAGTGGAGGATATGGAATGGAATTCTGGTTTGAGCTACATGTGCTAGCCTTTGTTTACCTCCAGTGGCTTCCTAAAGCACGAAAGAGGCAGACAGACCTGATACATGACCCTGCCTGGGACTTTTAAAGGGAGCTCTTTCTCTTTTATACTGCTTTTTCGGCAAAAACTTTAGGGCAACACAATGCTTTTACCTTCACATAAAGTAGCCAAGCCTGTTTGACCAGTTTGAGGGAAATACCAACAAGACTGCCAACCCCAATCACATGAAGTCTAGTTACTAATTATCTCCTGGCCTCTGAGGAGAGAGATATAGTAGCTCACTGATTGGATCCTGCTTTTGAAATGACTCCACACTGCTTTGCACTCTAACCAGAGTGACAGGAAGAATGTTCTCCGTGCCTTGGGAGACATTTTAAGCTGGACGGATTCAGGCTTAGGCGAGACTGCACCTGTCTGTGTTTAGACCCAGCCCAGACCCATGGAAAGGAGAAGTAAAACTCACGTCTGTTGGCTATGAGTGGAATTCATGAGATTGAAAAAGAAAGCCAAGTGGAAAAGAAAGAGCCTTGGGACTCTAGCTGGGAGTATGAAGACTGCAGGAGTCTCCAGAGCAGAAATCCTGCAGTACTGGATGAACTTTATGCAGAAAATTACTTGGATTCCACATTCCAGACCAAGAGGAAGAATCGGCCCTACAGAAAGAGGGATTGTGGATACTGGGATTTGGAACAGAGTGAACCAAGCTGTACTGACTATGGGGAAGCAAGTGAAAGTGGAAAGGACTGTCTGTTCCAAAGCGGCTGTTATGGCTATAAGAATCCAGAAAGTGTGAGGCCTGCGATGAAGGATGATTGGTTTTTAGGAAGCCCAGATGTGATCATGAAAGATGGTGCACGTGGGAAGATGAATGGCTTTGTTGATCCCAAGGATCTGAATTATAGGCCTAAGGATTTGGAAAAACCTGAGCAGTGGAGTGTCTACACCGGTGTAGATGATTCTTCAGGGGATCTGTGTCAACCTCAAAACTGGTATATGGGCCTCCGGAATTTTAATTACTCTCCTGAGCATTGTACAGAAGTTAACTTGTATGAAAGACAGCTTAACTATTTATATCATGTTCCTGAACATAATAGTAATGGTCAGTCTGTGGACTTTCTAGGTTTGAGTGATGTCAGCAAAAGTAAAGAATTTGTTAAACACTGTGAAGAGGAAAGGAATGTTTATCAAAATGGTGAAATCTATCCTAAAGTAAAGACTCATACTATGGATCAGAGTAATTGTGATGTGAAAATTAGAGGCTGTGACACATTCTCTGCAAACTATGAGGGTAAATATCATAATTACAGAGGATTAGAGTCTCTCCATCAGGTAGGGAATTTGAAGTATGACACTGACAAACCTGGAACAATGGCATTTAGGGCTAGAAGGATCATTCTGGATGATCTACAGAATCACTGTTCCAGTGAAGAGCAAGGAGAACGTCATTTTGGGATCCCTCAGAGCCTTTTATTAGAGAAGAGCACTTGGAAAGTGGATGAAGAGAGCACATTAAGTGGCCCAGATACCTGGAGAAGGAATAGTTGTCTCCGCCGCACTGCACCTAGCACCCTGAGGCGCTCGGAGTTTGTGCAGAACAGGAAGAAACCCCAAGGTAGGAACTCAGCTGGCCTTCAGACAGGTTTATAAAGTATGAAAATAAATGGGAAGGGTGGTTAAACTGGGTACAAGGAATGCCAAGGAGCCTTCCCCCATTAAGTTCTTATCCAAAGATATTTTAGTACCAATAGCATTTGAGATGTGATTCCTTTGGGAGGCGTTTTATAGCAAGAGTACATGTAGTGCATAAGTATTTAAGAGAGCTTTCAAAACCAGACAAATATTTCATGGGAACTTTCCTTTATTCTTCTGGGTTTTGTTAGCTGTCCTCTTTCATTCTTCCCTTAATGTTTTTTTGTCTTGTGGGGACAGCAAGTTATGAGGGTACAAAGTTAAATGTATTTTCCTGGCATGTTTCTTTTTCCCAGCCCTGTGCTTCTTTAGACATTAGTGGAAAAGGAGACTTATTTTATAGGCTTTATTCTCTGACACTCTGGAGCCTTAAAAAAAAAATTTTTTTTTTATCGGTACCGGGGTATGCTGCTGAGCTAAACCCCCAGCCCCCTTAAAATTTTTTTAGAAAACTTTGTTTTTATCATGTAGAGACTGTTTCCTGCCCTTTGTCTTCTTCAATTGTCTGAACGGTCTTTTGTTTCACCTTGTTTTTGCAATAATGAGGATTTAACCCAGGGCCTTCACACTGAGCTACATTCCCAATTCTTTTTATTTTTTATTTGGGAAAGGGTCTTGCTAAATTGCTGAATTTCCTAAGCAGGGCTTGAACTTGCTGTCCTCCTGCAGGGTGCTGGGATTACAGGTGTGTACCATCATATCCTGCTTCAAACGTTGCTTTTATAACTGTGGTGCTCCCTATTGAACTTATAATGTGTTCTCATGCCAAGCGGCCTGTCTGGTCCTGTGCAATTTGGGAGAGTGCAGGCTCTGACTAGAAGATAAGGGTTAGTGAGAGCCAGGGAAGATAACATTCTAGATCTATCTCAGTCTCCTCTGAAGTGGGTGCTTTTTTCACAGTAGGCTGGCTGAGTAGACTTGTACCAAACACCATCAAAGATCCTGAAATTGCTAGTGGTTTAGTCAGTGACCCTTCAACCATGCTTAATTAACTTAAGTTTCCAGGGCATCACTTTGGACAAAGCAGGCTCTCTACCTGCGCTCAGAAGGATAAAAATGAAAACAAGACTGACTTTCACTGGGAAGCTGAGGTATTTAGGAGACAGTCATTTCTCTCTAGGTGCATTTTTTTCTTCTTCTCTGAAATGATACAGATTGTATTACTTCTAAATTCCTTTCAGGTCAAGAGAGAAGAGAGTGATTTTTTTTCTTATGTTGGTTTTATATCATTTCTATTGGTTTCTCCCCGTATCTGTTTGTTCAGTGAACTTTGATTCCTGTTTTAAGTTCCTTATTGTATTAAGCCTCCTAACTGTAATCAAGTTTGTTTACTCTGTTTGACTTAACAAGGGTCAAGCTCTTCTCTCGGGAGTGTTGTAATGTGCCCTATGATCCCTCTGAAACAAGCCAGCTCAGTGCCATTTTATATCATTTCCGTTCTTAGAACTTTGAATTTGAGAACTTAACTTTTGGAAGTGTTATTCATGTTTTTAAAAGTTCAGTTGGCACCCTTGTTTTTATTCCTGATATCCTCTTTAATCAGTAATAAAATATCAACCTTACTAAACATCTTTCTGTTTTCTAACACTTGGAAATGTCTTACAGTACAAATCTTGGCCCCTTACAAAGTGTTACACAGTGACCACATGTAGGTACAAAAAAGAGACAGACATGGGTTAGGGTGACTAGTGGAGTGGTTCTGCTTTCAGTTCAAATGTGAGCTCCACCATTTACTAACAGTGGAACTTTAGACAAATTATTAACCTCTCTGAGCTTCAGATGACCCAGTGGTAAAATGAAGATAATTCCTGTTTCACAGTGAGATAAAAGAAGCAAAACACTCACAGGTCTGGAACATAGTACCGTAAATTACCATTTGTTTGTGTTTTATCTCTCCACCTTCTTTCCTCTTTACAAGTTGCCCCCACTGGACTGTCACTTCATTGTCCCGTGGCATCCAGACTGATAGTCGTTGCTCCCCAATGGACATCTGCCTTTGGACCTGCAAGCACCTCAACCTTAGGGGTCTGAGTGGACCTACCCCATCCCTCCCTTGCTTTCTCTTCTCACATTCTTCTTCCCATCTCAGATTTATCAGAGAAACTAAGCTGCTCTGTGGCTCTCTTTGACCTGTCTCCATGCCTGAAACTTCTCCTGAAACTGGCTTTCTTCCCTTGTGAGTTTTATCAGTACATTCTCCTGCGCAAGCTTCCTCTGGTTTGTTAGGGCAGGTATGTTAAGGTTTTGCCCTTAGTTCTAGGGTGTGGCCCCTAGTCCTGGGAGGTGACCCTTACTCTTAAGGTGAGGCAGGACTGAGGTTTCAGTGGAAAACTGGAAATGTTGATTGAACTTACTAATTTGCAGGGTCTCACATTTCAAACATGCCTTTCTAGCAGCCATCAGTTGCTGAATATCTGCAGGGCTCTTCAGCTGCTAATGATTTGCTAGATTCTTTGGAGTCTCATTGCTGACATACATAGTTTATTTCAAGGATTTCAGGGGAACTGCTACATGGATTTTGGGGTACTCTGTGTGGCTTCTTCTTTTCTATGATTGCCTTCTTAAGCCGTAGCCCCTTTAGCACTCCAGACTGGAACCCTGGCTCCTCAGCCCAGAGTGATTGCCACTTGTTGGCTCTCCACTGCTGCTTTATTCCCTGGCATCCCAAGAGATGGGCACCTGGGAGATGTTGGATAAATGTCAGTCTTCCCCCCACCTCCCCTTTGGTCTTTTTCTTTTTTATTGGTACCAGGGATCAAACTCACAACCACACACTTGCAAGGCAGGTGCTTAAGCCGCTGAGTTAAACCCCCAGCCCTAAATGTCAGTCTTACCTAGTTTTATTTCTTGTTTTTAGTCATGTCCTCTTCAGTGTCTGCCTGTTTTGATTGGTTTCTAGTGCTTACATATAGTCATTGTTTTAACGTCTTGTCCAGAAATCTCAATAGTTATCAGCCTGGATGTTAGGACAATGTAAGCTATCTCACTATTACTGGACCAAGAACTGTCTTTTTTGTTACATATTTTAAAATTTATTTTAGAGAGAATAAAACCAAATAAAATAAAACAGAATAAAGCCAATCAGAACAAAACAGTGAAAGTCATACAGGATTTCAAAACAAGATAATCTATGGTAGCTACTATAATGCCTCTTGTTATATTCAGAATTGCTGCCCATAGCATCAGACATAATCAAATCAAACAAAACAAAACAGAATAAAACCAATCAAAACAGAACAATGAGGAAAGCAAAACAATAAAATGGAATAAAACAAAACAGTGAAAACAGTGTTGGATTTCAAAAACAATACAGAAAGAAATCCCCCATTGTTGTTGTATTGCTATTTAAATAGATGCTCAGACTACCAGTTTTAGGACTGCAAAGGCAATCAAACAATGCAAGAATTAATTTGTTTTTGTACCCTAGTTGCTATCGATTCAGCTTGTGATCCTCTGAATCAGAGCGGCTCTTCTTGACTCCCTGGCCAAGTACTAGCTGGTTCACGGGAAGGATGAATCAGCTTCTTATTGCCATTCCTGGCCCTGCATGGCCACCGCTGGCTCACTGGAGGGATGAATTGGCTTCTTGTTTCTCTTCCCAGTCCTGCATGACCACTGCTGGCTCATGGGAAGCAAGAGTTGACTTTAAGGTTTTGCATTTACTAATAGCATAAATAGTTATAATGGAAACACGACCTAGTGGTTCAGATTCCCTGTTACATATGTTGAACTTAAGTGATATTAGTATATCAAAATGGAAAACTATTACAGAAATATGAAACTAGAATTCAGGTGAGAGTTAAGGCAGAAGAATCACAATTAGGAGGCTACATCTGCCCTTGGACTTGTAAAGATCTCTACTTTAGAGGTTCAGTAGAATCTCTTTATATTATTACTATTATTACTAGGAATCCTACATACCAATAAACTTAGAATTTTTATAAAAAAAAATCAATAACTGGGGCTGGGGATTTAGCTCAGCGGCATAAGCGCCTGCCTTGCAAGCAGGCAGTCATGAATTCGATACCCGGTACCGATAAAAAGGAAAAAGACAAAAAAAAAAAATCAATAACTACCTACAATTATATTGTTTTGTTTCATAGTGCTGGAGATTGAACACAGGGCCTTGTGCATGCTAGCCAAGTTCTCTACCACTGAGCTACATCTCAGGCTTCATGAATTGGATCTTGAAGTCTATTTAGCAGGTTGCAACCAGTATTTCTAAAAAATAATATAGATGTGAATAGAAAAGCATTTCAGAATACATCTCTTTAAGTAAAAGTAAGCATGTATTATTTTTGGATGTGTGTTATATATATATACACATAAGCACTTTATAAATGCATACTCACACAGAGTCACAATGTGAATGTGGATCATGAGCGAGGTATGGTGGCACATGACTGTAATCCCAGCACTCAGGAGGCTGAGACAGGACAACTGTTGCAAGTTTGATGCCAACCTGGGGTACATAATGAGTTCAAGACCAGCCTTGTCTCAAAAAAACAAAACAAAACACAAAACAAAAACCAAAGTTGAGTTGAAGTAAAAAATGTTTGAAAAACACTTGAATGCAACTTACTTATTTTGAGAGTTTAGAGAAATTGAAATGTGTACCCAAGGTGACTCAGTGGCTCAGGAAGAAAGTCTACATCTCTCAGTTGCCAGAGCAGTGCTTCTGCTGTGCCACCACAGCTGAAGCCAGAGGCATAGTCGCAGAGTTGCTTTGTGAATGTGAACCAGGAGAGCAGGAGGTGCTGTCAGAGAAACAGAGCTACTGCAGATGATGGAGAGGTAAAGCTAAGTGATACATGGCAAAGACACAACAAGAGAGGACTGGGACCCCGGAGACCTGCTATGGCAGGTGGGTGAGCACAGGAGAGCAGAGGTATGGAGCATGTTACAGGGATTTTAGGAGGGAAG